TTTCCCTCCTCTTGGGTTTTCACACTAACTTTTTTAAAACCTGGGCATGCGAGTCATTTGCATGTTCCTCTTCGGGAGTTTGAACTTGTGAAGCTTTAGCTTTGTTAACTTATTATGCGAATGACATAAACATCCTGGGGGTTCTTTGTTTCTTTTTTAACTTGATTTTGCTGTCTCCTCTGCTGGTAAAGTTCCGTACGTGATGATAGACAGACATTTTTTTTCGGTTCACTATTAAATTAGTCATATGCTTATTTTAATTATATAATTAGTTGCAAAGTGCATCTTATTTTATTGTTTTTGTGAAGGTTGTTAGTGGGAGGACGAAATCTAAACATCTCTTCTTTCTTTTGTTGCAGATAACTGATGTGATTAGCCATGAACCATAGTGTTCCTGCTTGTAATTCTCAGAGCAATAGCAGTTTCATCAATCAAAAGAATCCCATGGGGTGTGTTCAATCTATCTCTATAAAAGATTGAAACTGTTGTTGGCCCATTTAATTTTTTTTTTCCTTTTTTTATAATAATTAACCTGTGATAAATTCTACAGACCAGATCAAGAACTTGTAGAGCTCCTTTGGCAAAATGGACAGGTAGTTTTGAACAGTCAAACACATAGGAAACCAGTTTTGAATTTAGTACACTCAAGGCAAGTTCAGAATAATGATCAATCAACATTGAGGACTGGTGGATCATATGGGAACTTGAGTAATTTGTTTCAAGAAGATGAGACAGTCTCATGGATCCAATACCCAGTGGAAGATCCATTGGAACAAGAATTATGTTCAGACTTTTTACCTGAACTTCCATCCTGTGAGATTGAACCTGATAAACCAAACAAGCAGTTTGAAGAAGAGAAGTTTTCCAAATTCACTACCGACAGCGCCTCCCATCTGTCTGCAACTTCACAATCACCTAATATGAAACTGTCCCCTGTTCAGAAATTCTCGGGAAATCCCATCCTTTCTCCTAGATTTTTTCCTGATTCATCTCAGAAAAACGTTGACTTTAATGGGTCACCAAAAGTCCTTAATTTCTCTCAGTTTTCAGCGGTTCCTAAGGTTGTTTCAACATCTTCTAATGCACAACATGGAGAACAAGGTACAGGTAAGATGTTGCAAAATGAGACTGGAGAAGCCTCAGTGATGACAGTTGGTTCAAGTCATTGTGGCAGCAATCAAATTCCTCGAGACAGAGATGTGAGCAGAATTTCAAGCAGTGGTGTTTGGACTACTAGTTTGTCAGCAGAGCCTTTTTCCTTTAGGGATAATGTTCAGAGAACACTTCCACGGGTGAAAAAGGGAAATCAGAATCACATGAACCAACTGTCACTTCATCTTCTGGGGGCTCAGGCAGTAGTCTTGAAAAAACCTTGTTCCCGCTCTACTAGTATCTGTAGCCAGAAAAGAAAAGGGACAGATTCAGAAGAGTTAGAGAAACAAAGTGAGGTAAAGTGCTGTCCCTTTCTTCATTTGTCTCTGTGATTAAATGTTAGGTTTGTTGGTTTTGCTAGTGAGAATTGTCTGTACATATAGTAGACCACAGAACTCAAATCAGTGGCTAGAAACAAGGAAGCTCAGCGGACAGGGTCTTCCCGAAGGAACCGTGCTGCTGAAGTGCACAATCTCTCAGAAAGGGTGAGGACATGGACGTTTCTGATAAATTGAGATTATGGGAACTTCTACTTATATCAGAACTTCTCTACTGATGCAGAGACGAAGAGACAGGATCAATGAGAAGATGAGGGCATTGCAACAACTCATACCTCACAGTAACAAGGTTGACTTACATGATGCATGTTAACTTCTCACTTTCTTCTTCCCATTATTAGAGGGCATTCACTGTTCACGGAGAGCCAGAAATTGCTTCATTTATGATTTACTGACTGCCAGATTGAAAGTGGTTTATACGCAAACAAGGCATTAAATGTATGTAAAGAAAGGGAGGGAGCGAATGAGATAAAACAATTCTTTTAAGTTTATTCTTGGCTTTTGGCAATGTAGATAAAGTAATTTCCGAAGTACTTTGAAAACTTATATGTAATAAAATTAACATCTCTATGGTATTTAAGACATATAAAACACTTAAATCCTTCATATTTATTATATTCAAACATCATATAAATAAGTTTCCATCTGCCTGGGAAATAAAAATTTCCGTTTACTTGACGCAAGCTATGATAATGACCCTCCCCTGCCCTCTAAGGTAGATGCTAGATATGTTCAATTGGAAATATTGTTAAATCCATTTTCCCTGGTTTTATATGTTCCTACTTGCCATAAGATCCTATCATAATGGTGAAAAATCTGAACAAGGGCTGTATTTGCAGACAGACAAAGCATCTATGCTAGATGAGGCAATAGAATATTTGAAATCACTTCAGTTTCAGCTTCAGGTACAAGTAGCCTGCAAGATCTTATTAATGAAACTTGTCTTCAAATTGGGAATAACTAATCAATTTGGCTCCTGCTTTTAGATGATGTTGATGGGAGCTGGCATGACACCAGTGATGATTCCAGGCATTCAGCACTACATGTCTCAAGTGGGTATGGGATTTGCGACACCTTCTGTGTCTAATCATATGAATATACCAAGAGTCCCACTCGATCAATCCATATCTATGTCTCAAGCACCAAATCAGACTGTAACATTCCAAGCTCCTGTTCTGGGTCCCCTTAATTACCAAAATCATATGCAAAATCCAGCTCTTTCTGAGCAATATGCACGCTGCATGGGCTATCATCTTATGCAAAGTGTCTCTCAGGTGTTAATTCCTTTCAACTAAATAATACCATTTTTTCCATATGCTAAATTCCCCCATGTCTTCAATGCTTATCATAGTTTACCCTTTGTAGTTGATTTCCTTTGTTGCCATGTTTTCTTGGGTCTTGCAGCCAACGAATGCATTCAGTTATGGTTCCCAGGCAGTACAACATAGTCAAACCATGATTCCGCCTAGCAATAGCAATGGACCCGTGCGTGGGGCTGCTAATACCAATGATGCTGTCGGTGGCAGGATGGGTAAGCCACATTAATACATCTCCTCATTTCTTTCACGGCAATAAAATGAGGAAGTGGATCAATTCATGTTGAAATTTCACCTGTTGGGTGAAGGAATTCCAGTCACCATGTGAACAGCCCACGAAAAATCTCCTTCTAAAGCAGTCACGTCCTTGGACTTTGAAAAATGGAGCTTTTCTTCAGTGATCCTTGATATTGAATTCCTCCCAATTCATTATGATTGCTGGCATTCTGAACTAGCATACTACAGAAGAAAATGCCAAGCAGATAATTTCAGCACCTAGGTTACCCTTAATTGAGATGGTCTCAAACAGTGGCTTGTAGCTGGTTGCAAGAACTGTCCTTATCATTTTCTAAATACATGACATAGTTATACGTCTCATGAAACTGACTATTATTGAGTGTCTAATGTGAATGCTAGTTATCCAGTATCAAAATTTTCATGTCATTCTTCAACCTTAAAGATAACCTTAAGCGTTATCTTTTATTCATTTCCCATTTATATGGAATTGTTCTTTGTTGGATCCTCTTACATTTACTCCTGAGTTTCTTCGTTCTAAGACCTCTATTTTACCGTTTTGCCTTGTCCATTGTGCGTAGGTTAAGCAGAGGCATTCTTATCAGAGAAGCCATTGTAAGCTTTCGCAGTATTTCTTCCTGCTAAACTACATATACTTGATATGCCTAGCTATTTAGTCATTTCCCTGTATTTAATAGGGATCATAAGAAAAGACAAGAATAGAATCATGACATCTAAATATACGTGCCATATATTGCTTTAACCGCAGAAATGGGATTGATTGGCTAACTTCAGATTCAGAAAGATTAAGAGAGGCAAAGATCAGTCTTCTCTATTGAAGTCTATCCAAATATAAAGCAGTTGCATTTTTCATATCATGCTTATTACTGTCACACTAATTAACTTCCGAAAGACTGATAAGTGAAGGGGTCCACTTTATGTTCATTTGTAAGGTTTTTTTTGGCTATGCACGTAAGCGCACTACCAGCAGGGTAATCATTGAACTAATGTAAGCCATTCATTGTTTTAAAAACAACAATAGATTACAATGAAAAGGATAAAAGTCAAGATGCACTTCTACCTGTAGAATGCCAATTTTTGGTGGAGGTGACTTATTCTGTTATGCAACTTGATTAGGTCATCTTCTTTCTTTCCGGCCTTTCCCACTGATTACAGCGGGTCCTATGGCTCTTCTGTTACCGAAGTACTTTTTTCCGTCAAGACTTATGTTATATGATCATAATTTTCAAAAGACTGGGTGGGTCATGTTTACTTGTCCCTTTCTTTCTCTCAAATAGGATTGGTCTCAGTTCTCTGTTCTATCATCACATTGCAATAATCACACTATGCTTCAAGAATTAAAATCACCACATTTATATGCGAGACAAACACTGATTGATTAGTCCATATCAGACTGAACCCGTGCCAGCACATTGTACTGTATTCTTTGATTATCTTGGTGGCATGGAAATTGAATGTGTGTAGATTAGACCAAGCTGCATTTGCGGTTTTGGGACTTTTTCCATATGTACATTTATTTTCATATTTTTGGGAAAAAAATTATAAAATTAGTCTTGTCATCCAACCCATGATGAGGAATAATAGGGAGGGACCAGTTTGTGGGATACTTTCTGCTTAGTCAAGTTGTAATTGAATGCTGAGATGGTGGCCCCTTCTTCAACATTAAAGGTAATCAACTAACTGCGAGACTGTTGATAACACTATACGTTAGATGTAACAAAGTTGTTATCTTGTCATGAGACCTCAAGGATAGACACATGTTATCTATAAGGCTATGACTCAACACAATGTTGGCAATGTGGTCCCTTTAGAATATTTATTCACATTCCTACATTGAATAAAAACGAATAAACAAAATAAGTGATTTTGGGGATGTTAAAAATACCCTCATGTCCCAACTCTAAGAAGTAATAAAATCAAATAAGATATAAGCAATCATAGGAATTACTTGATTACAATATAATACTCCCTCCAATCTTAAATGTATGAGTGAGTTAGATAGTTTAGTTTCATCTTAGATGTAAGACCTTAATCGACTTTGTTTTTTAAATTTATAATTTTTTTCAAACTAATCTAATTGATTGCACATACTACCTCCGATCCTTAATATAAGACCCCGTTTGACTTTTATGTTGGTCCTAAATATAAAATTCCAATCCATCTTGTCTCTCATATTTACTCAATTTTTTTCAAGATAGTTCTGTTAATAATTATAGTTTTAACCAACATACTTGATTAGTAAAGATATTTTTGGAAAGACAATACCTATTTATTACAAATAACTAACTTAACTTCTTTTCTTAATTCCCTCAAATTAGTCAACTGACTCTTATAATTAGGACTGAAGGTAGTATTAAAAAAGTTTTTATTAAAAGATAGTTCAAGAATACATGATTAAAGGAGGTATTTTAGGAAAGTCAACACATTTTTTTTTACAAATAACTAATTTTATTAATCTTTACAAAGTAGTTATCCAGTTTATATATTTAGAATTGAAGGGAGCATATAGATATTACAGACAGAATTCCAGCTTCAAGAATATTTGCACCTAAAATTTATTCAGTTGGAAGGTTTGGCTGAACTCAATCCTAAAAGCATCAAGAACAGTAGTAGCAGTAAGGGTGAAGCTAAACTTTGTCAATTTCGTGTATCTTTAAAGCCCTCCGAAGCTTATAAAGTTATAAGTTTGTTGTACTTGCCTACTTTTTTTATATTAGAATTTGTGGCTTACCAAGTAGAACAAATTATGTTGGAGGTAAGTATGAGTAAAGATTGAAGACAAGTCTCTCATAGAGTTGAATTGAAATTTAAGCAGAGTATACAAGTAAATCTAAACAAAATATCATATACATACATATATATTCATAGTATAATAAAGAAGAAGGTTGATTACCAATAAGTTATTAATTGAGATAGTAAATAATCTCACCCCTGTAATAAGGAGGAGAACACAAATTCGAATCCTGATAAAAACACTTGTTAGGAAGGCTTTAACTTTAACGCTCCTGGCTCGATGGAAATTAGTCTCAAGACTAAAGTAGTTTGAGGATACTTTGAGTTATACTAACAAAAAAAAAAAAGAAAGTTGGTTGGCAAAAAGACAAAAAATAAAGAAGAAGATTGAATGAATTTCTGTAGTGATGGAGGTACTTTAGTCCTAATATATTTATTCTATCCATAAATATGGAGATTGGAGAAGGAAGGTGATGAGTTAATTTAGCAGAGTATGAAAAGAATGTTTATTTGAACCCATCTGTCATTGTTCTGAGCCATGAAATTAAAGTTTGAGATTCTTCCAAAGGAAAAAAAAAAAATTATCAAAGTAGATGTGTTTTGTCTTGTGTGTGTGAACTAAACAACACTACCTAAAGTCTGAATATGGCTTGATCAAACTGTTGTTTTGATCCAATTTTTGCTTACACTTTCTCAGTTGTATATTTGGTTGAAAATAAAAAATCAAGAAAAAAAAAAGAGAAAAATTATATTTAAAAAAATTATGAAATGTCCATGCACAAGTAATTAATTATGTGCTTGATATAACTGATGAGTGATGGCAGCATATTCTTATCCTTCCTTGAAAACAATGGTTCATGTTGCTTGCTTGTGACATAGGGCTTTTCACAAAATAAATGAATAAAATGAAAATGTCATTTTAAATGGATACATAAAACTCCATTGAAATGGTTGAGTTAAAAAAAATGGAGTAATATGGGGAAATATCAAATTGAATTTTTATTGGAAAAATGATAAAAAAAAATATCTTTTAAATTTTAAAATGACAAATAAGTGATTTTATCATGTCAAAGCCTTTTTAAGAATAATTAATATTTTTACAAGTCATTTTAAAATTCAATAGGTATTTTTTAATCATTTTCCATTTTTATTAGTCTTTTTACATTTATTGTATTAGCTATTTGGTATGAGAGATTATAAATTACTCCTCCGGTTTTTAATATAAAACATATTTAACTAATTTGATCAGATTAAAGAAGTTAAGTATGTTAATTAATTATAAGAAATATGACATATTTTTTTTCTAAAATATCATAATCATCTTTCTTAATATTTTTCTTCTTTCACTTACTTAATTATGATTGAGAGAGTATTCATAGGTTAATAAATATAAGAAATAGATCTTATATTTAAGATCAAAATTAACTTAATAATTAGGTCCTATATTAAAAACTGGAGGAGTAATATAGAATTAGGTATTCTCAAACGGTTGATTCGCGATAGCTTTCTTTTTTCTTTTTTCTTTTTTTGGGCCTCAGATTCGTGATAGCTTCCTGAACACAATTTTTTTCACTCAAAAGATTTGAATAAAATTGCAAGAAAAACAATAAAATTTTAATTTACTTAAAATATGTTTGATAGGTGATGGGCTTCACCAATGCAGTCATTATGATAATTTTTAATTTTAATTGAGTCTTTGTACTGTGATCACAAGATCCAGAACTAATTTTTCGATTTTTCGATGAGCGTGATCATCAAAGTAAAAAATTACCCATATTTTGACATTTGACCAACAACCACAACAAATATTATGTTATTAGATAGGCTCGCTGTAGAATGCTATTGTATTCTATTAGAAACCTTTTTTTTTTGGTAAATTATAAGCTAAAAGGTTTTATTATCAATAATTTCATTAAATGTTCTCTTTTATTTTTTTCCTTTTTTAATGAACTCCATGCAGCCTGATATACTATTCTCACACCTCCAATAACCTTCTTTGTCAATATACAAACCATCTCAAATAAATTTTTTTTATCATTTTCTCTTCAATAAACATCATGCCAAGTCTTCCCTGTAGATGTTTATTATAAGCCTTTTTTACTTTTCCTTGTGTAACTACAAATCTATCTGAACATTCTGATCTCTGCTATTTTAATTTTATGCTCTTATTTTTTCAAAAGTTTTTATCATTGACCAATATATCTAAATAAATATAAGAAATCTATCTTTAAAAATCAAGTTGTAAAATGAAGAGCGTACACGCCATAAGAATTATTGTAGTTGCCATTGAAAGTGATATGATCATTGACTTTTTTATTTTCTTGGAGAGGTAGGGGTCACCCCCAATTTGCTTGATTGTACTTGAATTGCAAAATGCTATCTACTCTCACCATCATCATCTTGTCTCTTCCATATTCTCTCCTTTAAATTATCACACTTTGATCCCACTTTCACTTTTCTATCTCTCTCTCTCTCTTAATATTATATATATATATATATATATATATATAAAATAGAGAGCGCCATAGCTCAAACTAGAGTAATGCCAACTTCACATCAACTTTATTACTCCCTCAAAGTTTAAATAAAAACCAGTTATTGAAAAATTTATTTTAGTCTTAAATATAATATTTTAATTTATTTTGCCTTCTAAATTTATAATTTTTTCAAATTATCTCTATTAATTACGTATATTAAATAAAATTTTTAAATATATGTAAATTATTTATATGGCTCTTACGTTTATAATTGAAGGAGTATTATGATTTTTAAGACTAAGAGAATATACAACCCAA